TATTTCTAGCTAATTTCTACTTATTTCTAGCTAATTTCTACTTATTTTAAACTATAACTGCGACTATAACTTCAACATATTACCCAATGGTTTTTAGCTAATTTCCATTATTTTGTACTTCTGTCTGGCTAATTCCTATCCTATGTTCCCTCTGTTGTCACAACCAGTCAAACAAATAGATATGTTTGGTGCGCTGCAAAAGTTCTTTTGTATGATGAATTTGCTTGTGAAGCGGCCCCTGGGACGCTCTGCTTTGCATTTTGTTGTGTTCGTGTTGGGTGACGGTTTCCCCCGGTATATAGTTTTGGTTTCAAGAAGCACGTATAGATGTTACATGTTGGTTGTGCTTCATGGGGGAGCATCTCCAATTCTTGTCGGCCGTGTCTCGCTACCTGGTGGCCATGAAGGAGAATAGTGGTTTTGACAAAATGAGGGAAGAGCAGTTTCAGAACTGCCGCCTGAAGATCCAGTCGTGGCAGAGATTGAGCATGGACCAGGCATCCTCGATTGCGGAAGCGTTGTCACAGATGGGCTGGAGTGCTGGCCAGCTTCAGGCTTTGCAATTGGAGGTGAATGCAAAAGCAGGTGGAGGGGTGCCTGATCACGTCGCCGGCACTGGCAGAAGACCTCTTCAAGACTACCAAGCCTTCACCAGCTACTTGACAGCATCCTTGTGGTTGCAGATCATGGGCGACAAGCCTTTGGACGCCTTGGTGAGTTTGGCTCACCACCTCGGCAAGCTGGGGTTGAAGTTGCCCTCAGAAAAGACCGTGTCCAAAGTTACGGCGTTGATGCTGTACAGGTACCACGAAGGAATGGACCGAGTTGGACTCCATCATTGCTTCAGCCATGTTAAGCAAACCTTGAAGAAGGAACTTTCGTTCTTTCAGAAGGATGATGGACGTCCATATGTGCTGACCCTTCCTGAAGACACTAGGCAGCTCGATGAAGGCTACAGGTCCGAAGCTTTCAAAGACGAGGGGCCTTGCCAATGCCAGGTGGACCTGCCAAAGCTGGCCTTCATCCACAACTTGGTCCCAGAGAGGATGCCAAAGGATGTGAGACTGAGCAGTTTTGGGAATGCCGGACAGGATGTGCAGTCTTTGATAATGGCAGCTCTGCAAACTACTTTGGGCCAGGCGCGAGGCGGCTCCAATGATGGTGGGCTGAGAAATCTTCAGCTGCTTCAACCTCGCGCGCAGAGGGGTGCGTCATTTGCACCCGCATTGGCTCTAAATGCTGTGGCCGAAAGTGCTGGAAGCTTGCCGCTTGATTCCTCACAAACCGGCACAGACCAAGAAGCAAGCAAGGTTGCCTTCCAAGGCTTGCAGCTGGCCCTGCCTAGTTCTTCGACGGCTGCACCATCGATGGCTGAGTCTCAGGGCATGGAGGGACCCGCGCCCAAGACAAATGGCACCAACGATGTGGTGGCCACACCTGAACAGATCGATGCTTTGAAGCCCGAAGACCTTGAAGAAAAGCCAAAAGGTCAGAATGAGAGCCAGTTCGACCGAGTGACCGAACAGATTCGACAGAAGCTCGATGATAGTAAGCCTGTGAAGCAACGGCCTGCTGCTTCTATGAAGAGGCCACTTTGCGCCAACCCTCCAAAAAAGACGGCACCACTGCCAAAGCAGAAAGGTGCCAACCTCGAATGTTGGTGGAAAGCCGAAGAAAGCTGAGGATCGTCCCCCGGATGCGTTGAAGCTATACCCAAATGGGTGTGGCAAATGCCGGTACAAGCCTGGATGTTGTCCATCCTGCTACAAAGCGCGCGGTGAGTGGTGATGAAAAAATACTTAAAGTTATAGCGGCCTCTTGGACGCTCTGTCTGCTTTTTTGTGTCTTGCCGGCTGCGCATGCTTGGTTGGATTTCAGGCAGGCATTGTGGAACAACGTTTCTTGATGGCTCGATAGTTTTCAGGTCGCTCATGAACAACACTGTTTGAGCCAAGTGCATGTTGCTAGAGTCTCTTTTAGACAATCGTTCAAGATTTTGGCATTCATTTGCAAGAACCATGTGTATGTAATATTCTCTTGTCAGTAGTGTTTGCCAGTCAGTTTTCGACAGCTTATCTATATACGTGTGCGCCATGATGACTTTGCAATGGGAGGTAAAAGAAAACCACAGGCAGACATTTGTCTCAACCCTCGTCAAGCCCAGAAACTTGCCGCCCTACCAAATTGCTCTGTGAGGCAGGCTGCAGAAGTTGCTGTTACCTTGGCTCATGATGAAGCGCCTTCAGAATCCAAAAAGAAGAGTCTGATCAAGGCTATAACAAATAGAGTTGCAACAGCAACTGCTCAGTACAAAAAAACAATCCTTGAGGAGTTGAATGTGGATGGTCAGATTGTCAGGATCAGTAATTTGCAGCTGGTGTTGCAGCGGTATTGCAAAGAGTCGCGTGAGTTTGCCAAAGCTGTTCGCCAGGCATTGAGCCTTTCTCCTGAGGGATTGCGTCTGGTTGCTTATGTGGATGAGACAGTGAGCGGAAATCCACTCAATCCTTGCAACCCCCAAAAAAGCAACTTGATCTATGTAGCTTTTTTGGAAATGGGGCCTCGGCTGGCGCTTCAAGATTTTTGGTTGGTGGGTGGTATCATCACCAATGCCAAGGCATCCTCAGTGCAAGGTGGATTGAGTGAAGTGTTCAAAGCCATCTTGCTGCATTGGCATCATTCCGATCACGGCGTCCTACACAGAAGTGGCTTCAGCGTAGAGCTGGGTGATGGTGAACACTGGCTGTTTCGTTGCAAGCTCCATGCACTCATCACAGATGAGGCAGCTTTGCGCAGCGTTCTGAGTAGCAAAGGCGCTGCAGGGATGAAACCCTGTTGCAAGTGCTACAACATAGTGAGCAAATGGCACGGTGCTTCCTTTGATTTGCAGGATGATGAGACCATCAAAGACATCACAGAAACAAACTACCGTAGTTTCTTGGGGTACACTGACCAACAGGTCTTTGATGTCATCGAACGCCTGCGGCGTGCCAGTGATGAGTTGCCGCAAAATGAAATGGCCTAACAGGAGCAAGTATATGGCTTTTCGTTTTGCAGCACAGGGCTCCTCGCAGATCCAAGTGCTCGTTCTCTGCTGCCTCCCAGTCGATGCTACTATGACTTCTTGCACTGCCTTTTCAGCAATGGTATAGCCTGCATCGAAGTATGCCTGTTTTGGGATGCTGTGAAGCAGTTTACTATCCTTACACTCGAGGATCTGCAAATGTTTTGCGAAGAGTCAGGCTTCAACCTGAAACCAGGCGTCCACGATTGTCGGCTGAAGCGCGTTTTCGATTCGAAGTACATCGAGAAGGCAACATACGGTGGTGATGCCAGCCACTGTGTTTTGGCATTGTTCATGCTCGAGGTGTTTGCCAAATACGTGTTGTCCGGATGCGCTGCGTTGACTGGCCACATCAGGTCACTGACATGTTTGTCGTCTCTGTGCCGGTGGTATTTCAGATTGAAGGCTGGCAAGTGCAAGCCAAATGCGTCTTAGAGTGAACTGATCAAGAAACTTGCGGCGAAACATTTAGGTGAGTATGCTGCAGTATATGGGAGGCGTGCTGTGAAGCCCAAGCATCATTATAATTTTCATTGTGCAGAATGCTTGGACTTACAGGCTCAAACCTTGGATTGTTGGACGACTGAGAGAAAACACAGGGTGTATAAAAACTGCGCCCGGAACTTTGCTTACAACGACAGCTTCGAAGCTGCGGTCTTGAACAAACTTATCATGGTGCAAGAGGAACAGCTAAAGGACAGGGCAGCGGATCCATGTCTTCTTCAGGCCGGTCGAGGATGCCGGTACAACTACGTCGAATACAATTGTGGTGACCTGGTTTTTTTGATAACCATATGAACTCAGGTGGCCAAATAGTTCATTGTATGGTTGGAGAGGGTTCGAGCTACTACCTTTGTCTCAAAAGGTTGGAGCGCGTCAACGACTTGGATACTGCATCGGACCCATGGCATTTTAGCCAATGGCGGGAAGCAGGCTCAGAATTCAGAGTCTCTTTAGCGCAGGAATCCCCACACATACTTAGTCCGATGCTGTGGTGGAAGCATGGTAGCTACATTGTTGTCAGCTACTGACTCTGTCAGATGTGAAAAGAAAAACCTTCACATGCCACCTGAAAGATATTTTGAATTTTGTGTTCTTGGACGGATTGGCAAATGTTCTTCCGTGCAATGCAATGCTTTTTTACCACATTTAGGTTCAAGTTTTGCGGTACTCAGTTTGATTTGGCTGCCGTCTCGCCATGTTGACTTCGTGTGAAGCCTTTGCTGCGGTGCTGATCCAGTGGGCAGACCCCGATTGCGAGTTCGATGAGTTCATGAAAGAAACTGCTAGGCTTGTCTTGGAGACCGTGCGCCATGATCAGCTCAGCGTGGATGCCTGGAAGGAGTTTATCGGCGCCTGTGCCCGCTCCAGCTTTGCAAAGAAATGCGAGATCCATGTGAAGGACCTGGCTTCTATGTCATTCAGTTCCTTGGCTCCAAGGGTTGGAACATGTGATATCCGTTCCCTCCACGAGCAGCAGGTCACGGCCGACTTACTTCGACGCGAACTCCCAGAGTTGGAGCGGCTGGTTGAGCAACAGCTGTACAATCCCAAGATCACTGAGGAGCATGAGCAAATGCTCCAGGCTGTGCTCAAAGATGTACAGTT